ATGACTAAGTAGCACCTTCCTCAAGTCCACAGTGACTTCTGATATTCCAACTTCTTTGTTCATCCCTCTTCTCTTACTCTATAGACACTCCCTTAGCTACTTTATATATTAACATGGTTTTAGTCTGTATTCTACTCCTGAATTCTAGACTCATGAATCCAACTGATTATTGATCATTTGCAGGTATCCTGACACCTTAAACTTAATGTATTTTAATATATTTTAATGTATTTTTTCAAACTGAATCCATTATATTTTTTATATCCTCAACCAGTTAATTGGCTGCTTATCTCTTAGACTGTTTCGTTTTTTACTTATTGATAACTTTTGTCCTGTAATTGTATGTTTGAAGTAATATTCCCTTCTTTGAAAGTCCCCTGTTAATAGCCTAGGGTGACCTTGGCAAGTCTCTGACCCCAGTCCTTGGAGACCAAGAGGAATCATCTGACTTTTTTTTTTTTTTTTTAGTCGGAGTCTCACTTTGTCATCCAGGCTGGAGTGCAATGATGCAGTCTTAGCTCACTACAACTTCTGCCTCTCTTGGGTTTAAGAGATTCTCCTTCCTCAGCCTCCTGAGTAGATGGGATTGCCAGCGTGTGTCACCATGCTTGGCTAATTTTGTATTTTTAATAGAAACAGGATTTTACCATGTTGGTCAGGCTGGTCTCGAACTCCTGACCTCAGGTGATTCGCCCACCTTGACCTCTCAAAGTCCTGGGATTACAGGCATGAGCCATGGTTCCCAGCACACCTGACTCTTGATTGGTCACCTACTTCTAGCCTCCAGACTTCCCATCCCTAGCCTGGTCTTTAGTTATCACACACAAGTTCAGCAACAACTTATACCATATCGAGTCAAACATCACCAAACAGGTTTATCAACAGGGGAGATAACTCAAGGAGAAGGAAACAGAAGAACAAGAGGTCTCATTAACAAAGTGACTAATGTCTCAGAAAATAAGGAAAAAATAGGATTAATTTCTGACGAAACAAGTGAGCAAGAATAGGGAACTCTTTCTTTTATTCAATATTTATTTTTATGTGCTTTCCTCACAGTTAATACCAGGTCAAAATAACTTTTCACTGGCTGTATGTTTGATATGGAATTAGGAAACTTTCTGAGGTTCTGGTATCTGTATCAGAGAAGTTTAATTAGTTCATGTCCCTTTAGTCAGTCCCATGGTCAGTGAGTAGTTCCAAAGTATGGCATCCTAACAGAAAGTTTCCAGATTTCACATCTAAGACTTTTCCAGTGTATTCAGCAGATATCTATTACACACCTAATAGATGACACTGTATTCTCTGATATAACAGATTATCTCATGTAATAAAAGTGGGAAGGGGTATAAGAAGGTATGTATATGTCTTCTTTACTCCAAATTATTATGTTATGAGCCACTCCACAACACCCAAAGCAATATTAACCTGGTACAACATGCAATAGACTATCTGACTGGTTATTCTGCATTTTAATTTTTGGCATTTTCCATGTTTTGCTGCTTTTCTCTTCTAAGCAACTCTTTCCATTGGTAGCATGATAACTGAATGGCAAACAACTTTTCTAACAAAAATTATTTTTTTTTTCTTTTGGACTTTTGTGGCTCTTAACACAGTAGCATAATTAAAATTAAATTAAATAGCTAATTAGATAATGTTATAGAGTAGTTTCCAGTAATACATTCGCTTTAACAAATTCCCTTAAACAAAGCATCCATCATTTATGCAGTGCAATTTGTCACTGGGTTACTGATGATATAAATGCAATTTTACATTCAGTGGAAGAAAGCATACACAAATAAACTCTGGTTCTCTGTAAAAATTACCATATCCATAACTTTTGAATCATTCTTACAAGTCCAAAAGATGCATGGAAAATTTGGACCTCAACATTTTAATTGACTTTGCAAGTATCTAGCGTCTGGTTCTTAATCATATTTTTAACAGTGAAGACCCAGATTAAAGCTGTGTCAATGTTTTGACAAAACTGACCCATGAGTTTAATGAACCAAATTTCCCACTTAGTGAAAAGAAAAATGAGTTTTGCTTATTTTCTGTTTCTTTGTTAAATTAACCTTTTAAAAAAAATAATTGGCTGGTTCAGTCACATAGAATACCTAGATGAATTCAATGTCTGGAAGCAGTTTCAACGTATTCTTTTTTGTAAAATGGTTATAAAAGTTAAAAAAATAATTTGCCTCTTAATAAGTGTATAAAAGTTTACTCTAAAACATTCTGCAAGCTCTATATTAAGGTCCTTTTTTAAAAACAAAAACAGAAACACCTCCATGATTCCATCTAAACTGACCAAGTCCTTTTTAAATTCAATGGTTCTATTATATAAGACTTTAAATACATTAATGGAAATGTCTATATCCATGAAAATAAAATCTCAGTATGAAAAAGGACTTCAGATTTAAATAACCATTCAGTCTCTGAGTGTTAACAAAGAATTTTTTTAAGAACGATAGAAATGCACATATCAGAAATTCAGTATCTATTGTGAGAATACCTTGCTAAGTGTTGACACAAGAGCAAACTTTAAAAATAGCATTATAACCAACCTCTAATTGTGTTAACTCTCTTCAATCAATGCTGTGGATATGCTAGATTCTTCTATAGTTTTGTGTGTATGTGTGTGCACCCAAAAAAGAAAGAGAGAGAAACAAATAAAATGTTGAACACCAACCAGAATGCAATTAACTGCAGTGCAGCTTGAAGAATTTCAAGGGAACTGTTAAGAAGTTTTGCCTAGGGTCTATGGTACAGTTATACTTTTTCAAAAATATCATACAAATGAGGTAAAAACCTACATCACTCCTCGATTTTAAATTATAGGTATGTTTCATAAACCAAATCAATATTTTCTCTAAACTTCAAGTGAAAATATTTATAGTTAAGTATTTTCTCTTTTTTTACCCCTCCCTTTTTTCACCTCCCTGCTTCTCTCCTCCCCTCTTTTCACAGTTCATGCTTTGTAAAAAAGCCACAAGAAGAGAAACATATATTTATTTAAATATATATTTTGTGCATGTGCACATTAATTAGTTAACCAACTATAAATGTAAATTTCAGCTATCACATATGTTTCTCTATATCTGATTCTCTTAATGTGGAAATCAACATATTTGACAGTTGGTAAACACTTCATTTAAAATTTCAATTACATACTTATAAAAGATTTGTTGAGTTATCATAACTTAACATTTGACTCTTTTCCAATAATGCACTGATTATGTTCATAATCTTGGAATGGGAAACTGTTAAACTTGACAGAAAAAGACAAGACATTTTTCCGTATAAAAATTAAATATGGCTGGGTGCAGTGGCTCACGCTTATAATCCCAACACTTTGGGAGGCTAGGAAGGCAGATCGCCTGAGGTCAGGAGTTCGAGACCAGCCTGACCCTGTCCCTACTAAAAATACGAAAAATTAGCCTGGTGTGGTGGTGCATACCTGTAATCCCAGCTACTCAGGAAGCTGAGGCAGGAGAATTGCTTGAACTCGTGATGCTGAGGTTGCAGGGAGCCCAGATTGCACCGTTGCACTCCAGCCTGGGCAGCAAAAGTGAAACACACATGCACATATATATGTGCGTGTGTGTGTGTGTGTGTGTGTGTGTGTGTGTGTGTCCCACAAACATCTAAAATTAAACATCAAGCTAGAAAAAGAGTATTTCTCATAAATATATAGGATAAATGTTTAGTTTTCTTATACAAAACTTTTATAACAGCAAACTTTACATAAATGTAAGTAAGCCATTCACAAATAAAAGCAATATAAAAGATCAATAAACATATGAAAATATATTCCACTGTACAAGTAAGGTACTGCAAGTTAAAGATATTATAGCATTTTTTATCAAATTGACAAAATTTAAAGAAATTGATAATATTTAATTTTGAAAAAGAAGGTATTGTTGGTAGAAGTATACATTTTCAAGTTTATTTGAAATCTATTGATATTTGCCAAATTTGAAATGTGTTGCCTTCTTGACCCATCAATTTCATTTTTTAGAAATGTACCATTAAATGCATTTAGATAATTAGGTTTTCTCACAAATATTACAGGCAAGGTGTGCAGATAGGTTTAGGCTTTCTTGTAATATTATGACACAAAAACACCAAGACCTTTCAAAGTATCCATGAACATAGGACCAATTAAATAATTTATATATTTATTATATGTAGTCATTAAAAAGGATGGAAAGACTATCCAGATATGAAAAGATTTCCATCAGATATTATTACATTTATAAATGAAATAATATAAAATATCAAACAATATGTATAGTGTGATACTACCTGAGTAAAATTACCAGAATAAAATGGAAAAAGGAGTGGGAGAACACACACAATTCTCTTTGTGTGAAGAAATTCTAATTGGGAAGTCTCCATATGGTTAACTAGTTACCTCTTGACATTGTGGGGAAACGAATGGGGAGGAGCTAAAGGAGAATATAACTTTTCCTCGAAACAAATCTCTATTTTAATAAATAGCATGCATGAGTTCTACAACGAATTAATGAAGTATTATTTAAAACAATGGAAGTATATTTTAAAGTTGAAATAAATTACTTACATATTTAAAGTCAACAATAGTGCAGTTTTTCAATCATGATTTGTTATTAAAAAGAGAGAAGAAAAAAACACATGCAAGTTTTATCTGAGTATCTGACTGTGTAAACCGGATGATATTTCTATCTAGTTTTAGTCTGACACACCAAGCCAAGAGTGTAGTGGAAAATCGACAGTACCTTTTTCCATTTAGAAGAAAAAAATGTGATAAAGATTTTAAGAAATAACTGTTTTTGTTAGATTAGAAAAAAAAAATCTATAAAATTCCTGAAGTGAAAAATATTCTAGTTTATTTATAATTATGAATCTTAACTGCTTTGTATCTTGATATTGATTTACCCCAAACACTGGAAAAGCAAACACGTGTAATTTTCCTTTTTACGTGGTAACAGTGGCATCTCTTTTCTTCCTCTTCCTTTCTGCAGCTTTCAGCCGTGCCCCGATTCCGATGGCTGTGGTCCGAAGAGAGCTATCCTGTGAGAGCTATCCTATAGAGCTCCGCTGTCCAGGAACAGATGTCATCATGATAGAAAGTGCCAACTATGGCAGGACTGATGACAAAATTTGTGACTCTGACCCTGCTCAGATGGAGAATATCCGATGTTATCTGCCAGATGCCTATAAGATTATGTCTCAAAGGTATGATACTTCTAATATTCTTTTCTTTGTGCATATAACATATTCCTTCAACATGCATCTGTGTTACATATTGAACATAAGAATATAAAGTGTTATGTATTTTAGGATACTTTGAAATAGTTTTTCCATGTCTGACTATTCCCTGTATCACCAAAATGTTAATTGCAAATAGCATTTTAAAAGTATTACAATTTATTCGATTATTTATTACATTTTATGGTCTGCGTAAAATTGCATGCTATTATTTTGATAGGGTTCTCTAGAACTGAGTTCATTACATGAGATAGTAAACATATTTTTTACAATTTTCAAAAATAGAATTTTCTCAAAAAATTGCAGAAAAATTTTAATGCTAACGGTAACTTTCTAAAAATGTGGGGGATAAAAAGGAAGAAGTAAAAATTAATAGATAATTTTATTATCAATCATTAATCAAAATATAGTAAGACTATTGATTAAGGATTAATTTTAAAAGTATTCTTTTGCTATTCAGCATATGAAATTAATTAATTTAAACATTTGAGCAGTCTAAATACGGCCATATTAACCTACTATAAATTAAGGTACCGTATAATATCAGTGGGTAAGAAAAGTATTTTTGGTTCTAAAAAGGTTGAACAATGGGAATGCATATTATATAAGGTTTAAATTATGTTAACATTTCTTGATAAGTTAGCTAAATATTAAGTATCTTTTAGATAATTGTTCACTATTGCCATGCTTTCTCAGAAATCAGGGATAAACTCATTCATTTACTATAAGCCTTTAGCTATTCAGTTATTTCTTTTCCTTCTATTATTTAAGGACTTCCTTAAATATAGGGAAAACTCTATCTTAGGTAAAACTAAACAAATCTAAAGACAAGTAGATTTCAAGTACAGACCTTAAGTACAAGATTTCTTGTACTTAAGAAAGCCTTCCTTATTTTTCACCTTTTATCTTCTTGAAATACAAAATTCTGATAAGTATTTTTGGATGTAATTAATACATTGATAGTGAATATCTTAGTTTTATAAATTACTGTTGTATAAATTATCAATATAAATTATAATATGTCAGGTTTTTGATGATTAAAGCATTGGTGTGTACTTGAAGGATAATGAAGTCTGGACAAATCTGAGGGCTTTTATTTGTGTGTTACTCAAATGATGGCTCCTGCTAAGGTGAGCATTCATGAGAAATAAGAAATTAATATTAGGGATTTCATTTGATAAAAGTTTGGTTGCAACTTGTTACTATTGTGTGTCTCTATCATTGTTATATATTTGACATGCCTCCAACTATCCTAAATGCTATGCCTGAAAGAGTTCTAATTATTTCATTGTGTGGAGATATTGTAATTGTCTTTTAGGAGCAGTCTAAATATGGCCATACCACTTAAATTGTTTAAGTAGTATGGAATAGGTACTGTGACTAAATTGTTATTATAATTTGTTTTAGTTGATCAAACATAAGATTCTATAGAATTCACTTGGATTGTAGGTTGAGAAGGAAATACTATTCGTTTTTCACTTAAAATATAATAGAAGCATTAGCTGTTTCATCTCTATATGATTTTCACTGAAATTGTTTTAATCCTTTCATTGATATTATTAACGGCTCTGAAAATAAGCTTTTAATCTTATAATGATTTCAAAAAAGTAGTTATAATGGATCCTTTGGAGCCACTGAACTATATGGGATGCATACATAAAGTGACAAATCTGCAGAGTAAAAATGCTTTAAACACTGTTAGTAAATCATTCTTGTAAGCCCTCCTGATGGTTTCACAAGTATGAGTTGTCAGTTACCTGAAATAACTGTGGTTAATTCTCCATGGAAGCAAGTTTCTCACTTAAATTTTAACTATTAAATGCACTACATTTATACTTGTCCAAAGTAAATGTTTTTAATTCTCTGAGAAAAGAAATCAGGTTCCATTTTGTAAGCTCCCAAGAGACGCAATGGCCATGGCCACTTAAGCTACTTTATAATGAACTTAGTTACACTATCATGCCAACCACAGCTTGTTAAATAATGCTAATAATGATTACTTATGATATGGACATATCACACTAATGATATAAACAGTTTAAATAGATTAATGCTTTTGAACTGAAATCAGAACGGAAAGCATGTTTTTTTTTAAGGTATCTTAATGCTTTTCTTTTACTTAAACTTCTAGAAAGAGACTATATCAGAGTCTAAACATTTCAAAGCATATCTTATGGAGAATTATTACTCAGTATAAACAGTATTGTTATCACCATATTCTTGCGTAACCTGTTTAAACAAGCCCATAACTTGCTTCAGCATGATGCAGTAGACAGATGTCTCAGGCAAGGAGAGACATGAAATGTCATTGAGGCAGATGTTTGAATACACATTGAACAAAGGCATAAATTCAACGACATACTGACATGTAAATTAAAGCTAAGTGTGAAAAATTTGGAAGTTGAATTGAAAGGCTATAGCTCTTGATTTCCATATTTTTCTTTAGTGGAGCTATGTAATCTGACATATCCTGTAGAGAAGCCACTTTCTTCATTGCCTTCCAGATTGTGTGTTCTTCAATCACGTGTGCTCTCATGCCATTCTGTCCAAGCCCCCAATATTCCATGCTCTACCTCTGTGTCATTATCCTATCAGAGGACTTGTTAAAACATCACAACAGATTTATTTGTCCTTCTCAGAAACTTATACTTGTACTAAATTGTTATCTACATTCCTCTTTATCTCATCTAAACCTTAACAAACCTATACTGCATACAGCTGCCTTGTCTAAAGCAAATTGTAAGCTTCTATAAGGCAGACTGCCTGTTGAATTAACCTAAAACCAACTTTGGTTGTATAAATGAATAACTAAATATGCTCTCTAATTTTGTCCTGCCACTTAAAAGCTTTCTTAACTCTATTATTTGAATGGTTCCTCTTTCTTTTTGTGTTTATATATTTCAGAGAGTTTTTAAAAAATATACATATATTTGGATATCTAAATATGAAAACAACAATTTAGCAACTGGATAACTTTAGAAATTTTACATTTGGCATTCAGCTTAGGTTTCATGTTATCCTTAACTGTCAATGGAAATATTTCAGTTGTAAACCAGCACTTGAAAGTTTACAACATGCAGTTTACCCTAACAATTACTTTGGGGTTTTGTGAATGAATAACTCAGTCATATTTCCTCCTCATAAAGCTATATATATATTGGCAAATAGAAAAACTCAACTATATCATTTGCTCAGCATTTTACTTTTTACCTCATTTGTGTTTATTGAACAGATTAAAGGAGGCAGGCTCTTTTAGCTAAATGATATAAGAGAGCGTTTCACTGGAGAGGAAATCTCAGTGCTGCTTCTTGAAAGCTGGCTGCATTAGTGGAACCAGAAGAGACTAAGTGATACTAGCTATGTAAGTGGAAGAACACTAGAAAAGAACACAAGAGCATACGTTTTTTTCTGGTAACCTTTTACTCATCCTTGGTTCACAGCTTTTTGCTGTTCTGCTGTTGATGTAGCACTATCTATTCTGTCTGAGTTCTCTTCCTAACATGCTACTACTTGGCGCCAAGCCCATTTGCCCCATCAAAACCCTCTCTGTAGATAAGTTACACATATTGTTAAGAAACCTTAATATTTCTGGATAATACACTAGCTTGACACTATTTCCTTGCTGAAAAACCCAAAAACAACAACAACAAAACTGCCTTTAGAATTCTTCTTATAAATTGGACATAAATTTGAATATCATTTATAATAGCATCTTCACACCAGCTTTATAATGACATATCTTTTAAAATATATAACAGCCTTATTTTACATATAATTGCCTATTTTTTTAGATTGAAAATGTGTTTGTGAACAGACACCTGTAGGCCTATCTGTGTATATATTTATGTACTTTTTATTGATGTATAATATGCCTATAGAACATTCCATGTATCATACATGTACAGCTCAATGAATTTTCACAACTTAAGCTCATCCATGTAATTACCACAGATAAGGCAGAAAATGAATGGCACCTCAGAAAGCAGCCCCCTGTGTTTTTCACCAGCCATGTTCCTTTCTCCAAGGATTGCCCTATCCTGACTTGAAAAACTCTAAATTCTTTTTGCCCACTTTGTAATTTTAATAAAAGACTTAATATAGTATATACTTTTTGTCTGGCTTCTCTCATGTAATGATTTATTTTTAATGTAAATTTGCTGGAGCATTTTTATATGCCATATAATTCACTCATTGCAATTGTACAATGATGATTTTAGTAAACTTAGCAAGTGATACAACCATTGCAATAAATCAGTTTTAGAATATTTTTATCACCACAATAAGATTCTGCATGCCAATTACTGTTAATCCCAATTTCCTTCTCCATCCTGTGCAATGTCTAATCGACTTTCTGTCTATATGTTTATCCTTAATGTATTATTTTAAAGCTAAAAAATGAGTATTTAAAATCAAGTTAAATTTAATGAACTTTTCAGTAGGAACAATATAGAAGAAATATTGGCAGTTATTTCAGGAGGAATGGAAATAGATACGTTGCTTACATTTAAATTCTCTTAGAATCAAACATCATGAATCTAGACATTTAAAAATTATTTCCTTTGAGTTTTCTGTCACGTACAGATAGTAAATGGTCCAAGTAGGAGTATTTTTTTTCTATTTAAAGGAGAGATCTAAGTTTTGTTTTAGTGTGTTCACATATTACAGTCACATTAAGAACATGCAGAAAAGAGAGGAGAGAGAAGGCTGGGTGCTGTGGCTCATACCTATAATCACAGCCCTTTGGGAAGCTGAGACAGGAATATTCCTTGATTCCAGGAGTTCAAGACCAGCCTGGGTGTTCTGTGAGACACCTGTCTCTACAAAAATAAAAATAAAAATAAATAGCTGGACCTGGTGGGGTGAATCTATGGTCCCAGCTACTCCAGGGGGCTGAGGTGAGAGGATGGCTTGAGCCCAGAAGTTTGAGGCTACAGTGAGCTGTGATGTCAACGCTGCACTTAGCCTGG